CTATTTAAAAATTGTTTTAAAACCCAAAATTATTTTTAAAAATTAGGTAACTAGCCAAAAGTTTTGAAAAAACAAAAAATTTTGAAATAAATCTTACTTTCCTGGTTTTTTAGCTAATTAACTCTTTAAATAAAAAATTAGAAACCCAGCATTTTAAATAAATAATTTTTTTTTTGAAAAAGAAAATAAATAAATTTTAAACAGAAGATATTCTCTACATATTAAAAGAGAAGCATTTTAGAATTAATTTGTTTAGATGTCAAACTCTCAATTTTTTGAAAATTTTAGTTAAGAATTAAATCATATTATTAATTCTCTACCTTTCTATTACCCAAACACTCTACAATCATATTAATTATCTACTATACTGTTAACTAAACACTACACAATCACACAAATTACACAATCTTTTCAACCAAATATCATTAAAAAACATTTTTTTTTAAAACAAAAATAAAAGAAAGTTTACAATTAATATTCACTTATTCTTATAATTATCTTAAACTTATAAAATTCAATTCATATTTGCTATCTTTTATTTTTTTTATTTGAGTCATAAACCGTATTTTTGAAGATTATAATATTGAATAAATACACTTTATTAATAAGTGATATATATTGACTAGCTAAAAATTTGTTGTTTTCAATTATTTCACGGGTGAAATACATTTTTTACAAAATAATTGCAAAATTCTTATAAATAAACGAGTTTTAGATTTCGTATAATAATTTTTTCGAAAATTATAATGATTTTTTGAACTAAAACTATATCGATTTTACTTGCGTATCATATTATCTGCATATAACGCGGGTAACTATCTAGTTTTCGTTTTGAATAACAAGAAATGCTTAAAAAAATAGTTTTTTGTTGGGGAAAAAGAAAAGATAAAATTTAAAAAATACCACTTTTCAAGTGTCACTTTACAAAAATGCCACACTTTTGAAATCTTTACAAAAATACTACTTTTTCAAAATTATTTTTTTTTATATTATTTATGTTTGGATTAATTATGTTCTATTAGAGTTTAGTGGGGTTTAGGTGTCAAAACATTTTTTAGGGTGTAGAATTTTAAGATATAAACTTTATAAATCTATAATTAGTAACATTTTTACATTCTCATAAATGTGCATATAAAAAATGGCATTTTTATAATTGCCCAGAGAAAAACCTTAATTGAGAAGGAAAACAGAAGCTTAAAACGTCACGTGCTGAAGAAGCGGCCATGTGATGAAAGAATATTCGGTAGAAATCTGCCGTTAGTTGACGGCGTCAAACGTGTACACTGACTTGCTGCAAAACGGAACGGAATTCAGAAGACGAATGGTGAGGATGACAGTGACGTAGCAAGTTTGATGGGCCTATTTCTACTTGTCAAAATAAAATTTATATTTTGGGCCATTGGTTTTATTTAAAAGACTAGCCCAAGTAAGTATACCATGGATGATATTTTTTCTTTTTTGGATAACAGTGTACCATGGATGATTGATTGGATGAATAGCAAAATATTACTATCATATTTGCATGACATATAGTCAAACTTTAGCTTGTTTATTTTGTCGGTCTATATATGTATATACACTCCTAAATTGGAATTCACAATGGACCATTGTATTAAATTGGTTGTTGGATTGACCTAGGTAGAAATCTATATATGAAATTATTGCGACACGAGCCATTTAATTTATAAGAGTACCAAGAAGGTACATTAGTGACTAGTGTTGTAGATAGAGAGAGAGATATGTATGTATGTATGTACTAATTTATTAAGTTAACAAAAAAGGAGTGAATGGGGTTTATGGGTAAGTGCGCAATTAATGGGTCAGTGCTTAATTTAATGACCGATGCTCATCAATTTCACCACCTTCTCTTTATTGCTATACTAAGCATCCTACTGGTGAGATTAGTATTCTATTATATGCACATGCACATGAACATTAAGTATCCATGTTTCTCATGAGCTATCAAGTAAAATATCTAAAGCTCACCAACATATAAACTACTGGTTAAAATGGTCATGCTATGGTCAAACGTGTAAGTGAATTAATGAAAGTTTATAATTTAGATTGGTATGATTATATGTTTAGACGACGTTGTAATTGTATTTTGTTAATTCGATTATATATTTTATTTTTTTCAAGTGAAGAAGTGAGAAATAGATCATGTTATGTTGAGGTCTTAGACTCTTAGGGAAGGATTTATAAAATAAATTGTACTACTATTATTGATAAAGAGGAAAATGCTATGGAAGAGAGAGCCAAAATTAAATTAGTAAGTGGTCAAAGAGTGTTAATAAATGACCCAGCACAATCTTAATTGCCAAGCATTCACACTTAACTACTTCCTTAGGTTCACTACTTGATCATTATTTTATGCGTTTGTTTATAAGTATATACACACTCTTTTTCAACAACAAATGTTGTAGATTTTTGTAGTCATAATCGTAATGTTTGATTATCAAATTTTATTATGTTTCTTCTCGTAAGTTTTGATTTTAAACTTAACATAACAAAATATCCAAAAATAATACGCATCACAATTAAACGGTAAAAAACAAAGATGGTTCATTCC